GGTCTGGGAGCGCCGCGTCCTTCTGAGGGGAAACTTTTCCCCTTTCCAGTGGATACACATGGTAAAAACCTGGCTGGTATAAAAGTATCTGAACTTATTAGAAATTACAAAAACGTCTTTTATTGAATCCATATGCTACCTTCTCCATTTCCAGAGAGGCTTTATTAATGATTGAAACGCAGTCTTAAGCAGCACAAAGCAACATTTGTCTTGAGAGAGTCCAGTCGGGGATTTTCTGTTTTATCTTACAGGTGCACTGAAATAACAGCGAAAACTAGTTAACCGCAGTCAGGTTTCCCCTCCTGCTTATTCAGATAATAATAAAGATAGGATTTTTCTTTCCAGTAACGACTTTTAATTGATTTTATAAAATATATGTTTATATTAGAACAGTAGCAAATACTGAATAAACTGGCATGGCTTTCACGTTTATAAAATACCAAAAAGTACCTTTCATTAGCTTGCAGTCAGCTCGTTACTAGGACTTTTTTTTTTTTTCTTCAAGAAATAACTTTTCTTGATAAAAGGCATGCCAAATGTCAGCTAAGAAATGCATTTTTATCTTAAAACCACCGCATCGGTTAATTACTCAATTTTCTCTGCAGAAGGATCTAAATCGTGAACGTTTGGGGTTTTTTTGTTTTGATTTTTTTTTTTTAAATTACCTCGTTTCTGCTTTCAATAAAGAAGTTTTACTATACCTTTCAAAGACAGAGTAGCTCTTGCACTTCACCTTTAGTAAGTTGCAGACAGGAAGTCCCGTCTCAATAAAGACCATATTGTTGGGTTACAGCATGGCACGTTGCTCTTTTATAACTGCATCCTTGCGGTGTTATAATTGTACCACCGTGGACTTAACTTTCTAATTTGCTGCTACAGAGCTGATAACGCCATTTGCTGCTGTCAGTTGAAACTTCAGTGGCAGTTTGCATTTCTCGGAAGTATTGGTCTTCCTGGGTGGAGGTGGTGTTTGCACATCTCCAGAAATAAATTTCTAGCTGATATCTCAAACGGGCTTTAAATGCGTGTCCTGCTAAAGTAAAGTCTCAAAACCAAATGATTTACTGTCTAACAATAAAGTTGAAATGATGTGGTAATAGTTGTACTCCCAAAGCGTTTCCCAAAACATACGAAGTATTGTTCGAGTAAATGCACTTTAAAAATGTGTTTTGACATATCGAATGGGCCATTTCATGGCTGTGTAACTGTAATCGTCCAAAAGGACTCCGTAGGCTAAAAGGAAGAACGAGAAAAATCCCATGAACCCGTTACTTTTCCTAAACAACCCTTCCCGAGTCTGTTTCGTATTAAAAATGACCTCTCTCTTTCCTTGTTCAGGCGGATGTTTCCCGCAATGAGGGTGAAGATCTCAGGTTTAGACCCACATCAGCAGTATTATATTGCTATGGATATCGTGCCAGTGGATAACAAAAGATACAGGTATGGTGACTTTAAGGTAAAAAACATACGATGCAAGCCATAGGGAGCTTGGCTCTTGGAAGAATATATTAACACTATATAAATTAGGAGAAGGTCGTGTTTAACTCTCCTTCAGATTCCTATTTTCATCTCAAAAAAAATAGCTTGTGCCAAGCATGCAAAACCAACTAAAATTTCTGTTGAAGCTCTTTATACATTTCACTTATGGTGTGTGGGGGGCAGAAGCTCAGGTTTTCGCTTTCAGAGAGCGCAGTTCTGCTGCGGTCAGGAAATGTTATTCCTCATCATGTTTGTGGGGTTTATTTCCTGTTAACAAAAAAATATGAAGATACAAATTTTTCTAGTGCTAAATGGCATTAACGTTAATTACTAGCGTTGATGTCTGATTTGATGGCATGTATGCTTCTTTGGTGATAGTTCAAAATGCTTATTTAATTTAATTTGAAAGCTGTTTATCACTCAGATATTTGGTTGCTTAGATTCACAAAGTTTCAAATTACTCTTTTAAAAAAAAAATAATGGCGTTATTGTCTGAAGAATAATGTGAGGAACAAAAGCAGTTATTCTTTGAACATTGAGAGTAAGAATTATGTGCTGAAACTCTCCCCATTGCGAGGGCAGTCGTATTTCGAGGGAGCTAGTTAGACTCTGCTGAAACCACTGATCCTGTAGCAATGCTTGCAGGATCGGGCCCGCAGCAGTTCCTGTGAGTTGTAGAGGTTTTGCAGGTCCCACTTTACAGATGCGATCCCCTGCTCCATAGTAGCCAGGAGGAACCTGGCCAAGTAGTTCAGTGGAGGCAGGATCAGGTCCTTCCCAATTGCTAGTTTGATTGTTTCAACCCTGTACTTAGTATAATGTAAGGAAAACCACTGCAGATTTAATTGTGGAACTAGGAATATTTCAGACTGAGACTAAAAGGTTGGTTCTGCAGGAATGCTGCCTTGTTTCCTAAGCAAACACTGCCCTGTGTTTTTTGTGTGTGCTTACCTCAGTGACTGCAATTTTGTCCTTTTCTCTTGTGGTGTATAAGACGTTGCTTTGGACCATTTTAGATTTTGTGTTTTTCAACAAGGTGCAGATACCAGTGCTGGGGATGTCCAGAACATACAGTTAGGGGAGGCTTTTCTGACTCTACCATAAAAGAAAAATGCTTTTTTTCCTTTGGACCAATGCAGTGCAGCTCAAATGAAAGCCTTTTTCTTGCTTTGTGCTGCATGTGTGCATTTACTTTGCAGTCTAACCATATAATTCCTAGAAGGTCTGAGCAGTTCCTTAATTCATAGAAAAAGTGAGGTAATGATTCCAAATTGAATAAAAATATTAATACAAAAAATTAAAACCAGTTATTTTGAATATGAGTTGTTTAAACCTCATTCATTTAAAATAAATACAGTCATAGTGAGCTGCACTGTCACACCCAGGGTGATACGCGGTGCCCAGATAACTACAGTAACTTAACAAAAGTTGTATGGAGGGCAGTATTTTCTTAGTTGGCAAACTTAAATCTCTGTAATCATGTATTACTACCATGCCTTTAACCACCCCACTAAATAATAATGTTTTACATGTTTTACTTGATGCCACTTTTAATTCTTTGCTGTGATATCTATGATTTTTTTTTTTTTTATTATTGACTGTTATTTTAACTTTGGTTGTTCATGTGGCTTTACAGACTGTCTTGCAGATCTTTGAATTTGAAAGATACAGCAACAGTCACATGGAGCCTAGTCTTTAGCTGTTATAGCAGATAGGAAAACTACATGGAAATGAAGAAAATTACATCTAGGTCTATTTTCTAACATTATTGGACCTTGTTGTAAATATTTGGAAGCTTAAGCTGTTCCTCAAAATATTTTTTGTGCATTTAGGACTTTATTTACTTTTGTAAGGAAAGCATGCATTTAGTATAAACTAACAAATATAAAATAAATGAAAAAATGTTACGACTGTTGACTGTGTGATCAGGAGTTGAGAATTTGTCTCTAGGAGAGAATTTCGCCACCATTCTAGAGCTTAGTTTTACAGCTTGATACAAGTTATACAGAGCGATGCATGTATTGGATCATTTTGTTTTCAATTCCAACTATGTTGTCTTTTTTTATTAAGGAACTGAATTGTGCAAACATATGATTCGATAAAGTATTTCTTGGTCTTATTAAAAAATATAGCTGAATTACTGGAATTTTACTGTACTTGAAAACCATACCTTGAAATTTTCAGTTACTGCTTTTAAATTGCCCTGTGAAGTGTCTGTCTGCCTTCAAAATAAGTTTTCTGCCAGAGCAGGTACTATTTTTATTAGAAAATTACTTTGTCAGCTTTAGCCTATCACATGACATATGGGCTGTGTTTTTTGATTTTTTTAAGCCTTTCTGCAGTACTATTCAAGACAATTAATATGGTCTTGCAGAAATAGCAAGAGTATAGTTTGACATACTTGCATTATTTTTCCCAATCATAATGTTCTTTCCCTTCAGTAGCTTTATTTATAGACTCTTATATTAGACTCAATATGTTAAATCTTCCAAATATGGAATTACTACTTGATTTGATAAATGAAGGACCAGATTCTCCCCTGTTTGCTGATGCCCGTTCAGAGCAGAGCTTTAGCAATCAATGAACTGACACCAGCTTAAAGCTCAGTGTGGAGCCCAGTGTTGACTGTTACTGATTTTAGGAAGACTAAGGTCAGATCAGAGCGTGGTTTTTCAGCTTACTTTGCAGATACCAGAGCCATGTTTTGAAACTAAAAAAAAACTCCTTTTATTTATTGACCTTTCATGTTTTATTAACTGATGGGTTCTTGCTGTACGTATGGGCCCTGATTTATTAATACTGAATGGGTCTGATAAATTATTTAGAGTTTTGTGGTTATAGGTGTTTGTTTTCTTTTTATAGGTATGTTTATCATAGCTCCAAGTGGATGGTGGCTGGTAATGCTGACTCCCCGGTACCACCTCGTGTTTACATTCACCCCGATTCACCCGCCTCTGGGGAGACGTGGATGAGACAAGTGATCAGCTTTGACAAACTGAAGCTTACCAATAACGAGCTGGATGATCAAGGGCATGTGAGTACTTGCTCTTCTGCAGTATTATATGTAGGCACATTGCTCAGCCCTGAAATTCTCTGACGTACATCTTCAGGGTGCCAGAAATAGGTTTGACTTTTCAAAGCTCTTTTGGAACTTTCCCATCCAGATCTAAAATCTGCTTACTTTCTGCTCCGGTAATTAACTGCTTATTAGAGCCTGCTGTTTTACTCCTCCCTCAAAAACAGAACTCCTTCTGCAAAGTAAGACTTTACAAGGCTAAATTGCCTAATACGAAGGGGCAGAATTGCTCTTATGTTTTCCCACCGAGTGTGTTACTCGCAACTTGTGCTCCGATCAAAAAGGATGCTTAAATTCACAAGCGGCTGGAAGAAACATTAATAGTGGGTAATAACTTGATGTGAATAAAAATACACTTAACTATTTTCTTAACCTAAACATTTGTGTGAAATCCCATGAGGTGTTAATAATTGCACTCAAAACCGAACAACATGGGAGCTGGGTTTGCTCTGATAATGATTTATTACATACCTTATGAAGTAAGACCCTTTCACAGCTGAGGCTCATTACTTACGAAAAGACTGGCGAAGACGTATGCAGTATGAGTGTTCTGTTTGCAAGTTCTAAATTGTTTAGTTATGACATTATCTAATGTGACAAAATGTGTTATGTTAATATTTCCTTTTCTCTTCAAAACTGTTGAAACATGACAGATGTAAGCCAGTATCTTTCCAGCAATCCCTAAAATAGTTTTACTTGACACCTTAGGAAATAATTTAAAAATGAGAATTGTTTTTAGTCAGAGTGAGGTCTTTAATTTTGCGAATAAATGGCAAATGTTGGCTTCCTTTCAGAAGGAGCATCGAATTCCAAGCGGTAGAATTTTAAGATGTTGGAGGCAGGTTTTGAGACAGGATGTGGATTCCATTGTCCTTAGCGTAGCCCGCTTTATTTCTTGAGCAGGATACTTGCTCCTTCACAGAAGGGAGTGAAAGAAAACTTACCTGGTGCCGAGTACAAACACACCACATGCATCTTTCAGTGTAGTTTTACCTCTGTGACATTAAGCCAGGTATTTTGTCAGTACGTTGCCCAAGTTTAAGTATGGGATTTTTTCCCCCGCGTTTGCAAAGGAGATTAATGTGAGACTGTGGTCATGTTGTGCAGTGGCTACAGCTTCTCTGTTACAGAGGCAGGAATACAGGAGGCTGGCTGGGCTGAGCTGGTGAATGTGATAACAAGGATAAAAAGCCTCCCTTTTGTATGATACTGTTCATAATTTTATTGTGCTCTTTCTCAGAAAGGATGCGGGGGTAGTCACATCTCTTAAGTTAGCAGTGCTTTTCTTCAGGCTTGTAAGAAAGATGTTTTACATTGCTTCTCTCCAGAGTTATAGTTACAGAGATTCGTTTGGCAGTGTCTGTCTGAGTTAAGGTTAGCACATGTAGTTCCATTAGTTTCCTCAGTGGTCGTGTGTTTGCAACTCTTCTCGAGTGGGAGTTGCTTTGTCTGAGTCCTGAGTCTATTGTAAGGGCTTTAAAAAGTGAAGCAGATGCGAATGGGTAAAATGTCGCTTTTCCAACGGAGGACAGGCCGGCTGGTTTTTGTGCTCACCCATTTCAGAGAGGCGATATGTGGGCACTGTGGTCCACCCGTGTGCACTTGCAGTCACAGACTGCCCTGTGATAAAATCTCAGCGATGTAGAGAACTGTATTACTGTATTTTTTCCATCCCAGATCTTAGCTTTGTTTTTATTCTGAACTGAAACCTGTGTAGCGTACACAACACACCATTATTCACAATGTGGGGCGATATAAATTTTCTGGTCTTTAGTGAAGTGTTTCGATTTGGAAACTAGTGAAGCAAAGCCCTAGTACAGTGATTTGAGACACATTGAACTGATTCAGAGCTACGGCAGTGCCCCTCCTCCCCAAAATGGAAATTTAAGTATTAAAATAAAAGGACAAAAGAAGGATGACTGTAAAATAATTTCATATTTCTCAAATCTGGGAAATTGCAAACATGTCATTCATAATTACCAGAAAAGGCAAAAGCAGAAAGCAGAAAAGTGTCTCTTCCAATGGGTACATTTTTTCTTTTAAAGCTATGGTAGTGTGGAATGCTGCATTGAAAAAGCTATGTAGCCTCTGAATGCCTCCAGCAATAATGGAAAACGAATAATCATATTTTGTGATGAATATAAAAAACAATTGTTTCTCATAAGCAGGAAGGAACTATTTTTCTCAAGAGGGTATCAGGGGAGGGATGGGGGATCAGAAGAGCTAGGGTTCAAGACTGTACTGTTGCCTGAATATTTGTTTTTGCATCAAGTGTTCTTCCTCTCACACTGTATGGAAGATAGGGTATATTTTAGATAATTAGAAAGTTGGTTTTTTTCCCCTCCTGCTTAGGCAGAATGGCTCAGAGAAACCTCGGTGGGGTCTCTGCTCTCTGCCATCATTCCTCCAGTAGTTCAGGTAGTGTTGGGCTTTAGCTGTTGTACTTTTGGTGTGCTTTCCATGCTGTCTGGTTCTGGGGCTTTAATCCTTGTCGAAATTGTTCCTTTATTCTTCCCTTGCTTCTCAGAGGTGTCAGCTTTTGCAGAGTTTTTGTGTTAAAATCCTGGAGCTACGTTTTGATCTTGCAGGTGTTGAGGTAGGGAGCTCGCAGGAGATCAACCCAGAGCCCTTTTACCTATTCTAGATATTAACTCTCAGAATCAGTGAGAGAGGTGACCTGTGGCTGTGGGACTGGGGTCAGCGTTTGCAAACAGACGCTAAGGTAGTATTTCTGTGCAGCATTTGTATTGTGGTAGTAGCTCATGGCAGCCAGCTCCCCTTGCACTGCGTTGGCCTGGGATTAGCTCCTTGTGAAAAGAGATCAGCCATCTCTAAGACAACTTGCTTTGCTGCTCAAATGCTTTCTGGGCTCCTTGCTGCCTGCTGCTATTTTCATCAGTACTTTGAGTGGGAGTTTGTGACAACGTAATTTTATAGTGCTGTTCTATGGAGAGATTTTGAAGTACATCTGCACGTAGGACACTCTCCGATACACGGGTTCCCACTTGGAGGCTGAGGAGATCCAACAAAATTTTTAAGGATATGTTTTCCTTGTGTGTTTTTGATCTCAAAAGGGAGTCCCTACTTTGGAAAGATTGCGTGCTTGTAGGGGTATCGTTAAGACGCGTACTGTGGCATTTGTCTCTTTCACCTCAGTTGTGATGGTGAGGAAACCGAGAAGTGCGTGATCTGGGCGCTCTTTGTTAATGCCTCTCATCCCTCTCTCGTCTGTGGGGTAAGTGCTGCATTGTAAAAGCAGTCTCACCCTCCGGCTGGTTACAGCTGGCTGATTTTTCTGTTTTCATGCAGTTTTTAATCTGAATTTCAGTAGAGGGGAAAAGTCAATATTTTTGATGCTGTTTTCTATGCTTTTCAACTGAGTGTTTTTTGATGCAGAGGAACATCTTTTAACTTTTAGTGAAAATGAGGCTGTTAGCCTGTTAATTGTTCCTTGGTGGTTGGGGTTTTTTTTTTCCCCCATTTGAAAGTAGGGTGAGGCTGGAAGCAGAAGCGGACTGTTACTCTGCCCAGACTTGGCTCCAAGTAGTGAGCTCTGCTTACAGTCAATGGGTAGTTATATGTTCTTGTCACAATGAAAAGCTGGGAAACATCAGCATTTGCACTTGCAGTTTTTGTCTTTGTGAAGAGGGAATCCATGCTCCTCGGCCCCACACACTTCACTTCCCTGACTGCAGAAAGCCTGGGCTTTGCAGGGAGGATAAAGGAGGGTTTTTGGTAAAAACAGCATCGAGGTGAGGACCATGCCGTTGGTGGGGATGTGGATGGGTAATCTCTGCACTGCTGAGCTGCTGGAGGATTGGCATCTCCCTCTAAAAGGGAATCAATCCGGCTTCCACTTGTGCTGGCTGTGATGTTTGTGCCACGGCAGTACCCAAGCTCAGGGTCAACGCTGAGGCCTCATCACAGCCATGTCTCTCAAAAACCATATTGTGAAGATAATCCCAAAGGAATCCCGGTTTTATGTGCCTGTAGGTGCCTTGGCTGCCTTTGCTCTGCCAGGCTGTTGCCTTGCCCTGCTGCCTACCTGCGAGCTCCTTGCTGCTGTGTTTTCCATGCGATAATGATGTCTTGACAGCTGCACTGGTCAGAGTGTAACTTTACATTTGTCGGGAGAGGTTTGTTCCTGTACAGAGGGTTTTGGTCCTGTCCTGCGAGGGATTTGTAGAGAGAGGCAGGCTCTTCAGCTGGGAGTTGAAAGTAATGCCGGGTCATGTTTGGCATTTGGTGAGGTTTGTTCTGGTCGGGGTTTTTTATTGTTGGCTTTTAGGGATACAAAGGGAAAGTTGCTGCTTTTGCAGATAAACTGTTAGATCCTGTTTGTGCTGTTAAATGTGCAAACAATGCAAAATGAAAAGCCAGAATCGCGTTTTCCCTACTTTTTTTCTTCACAGTAGCTTTAGGTGATGCTTAGAATAATGGAGTGAAATGGTTTTCGGAGTGGGTCTTGCATCTCCCTCTCCTTTTATGTCCTGTCCTCATAGCGTCGCTCTTTAATTCACCAGGGATCTGCAGTTATGTGTTATTTGGACTTGGGAATGTTAGGTTTTTTGGTTGGACTGGATGGTCTTAAAGGTCTTTTCCAACCAAAACGATTCTGCGATTCTATTTAGAATTCAGAGTCCTGATCATCAACAAAGATCCCATGGTACAATGCACAGTACAAAACCAAGGAAAAAAAATCCTGCTATGGATTTACTGATTGTCTAACAGTGTGTCAGCACAGGAAATTTCAGTATAGCATAGTATAGCAATTTCAGGTTGCTCTGAAGAGATGACAAGGATCACTTTAGCTGTAATAGCCACCTAGGTAAGGAGTGGGAGGTGGTCATCTCCATGCTGCTGTGACTTCGTGACTTGTTCTGATACACGAGCAGAGCTGTTGGTAGCTGCCTGGGTTATCATTGTGTACAGTCACCTCTGCCGTGTAGGCAAGCAGTAGTTTGCACCGCAGAGCTGATGGGGCGAAGTAATCTGGTGGGAACAGAACGTGGCAGCACGCTCAGCGGCACTCAGGCAAATGGCGAGGCACAGAATAGCGATGGCTTTGAACAGTGGAACAGGGGTTTCCTTAATAATTTTTTTCTGTTGCATGAGTGTCTCTCCTGGTACCACTGGGTGTTCACAGGAAAAAGGGGTCAGGAAAGTGCTGTCCTCTCTGCATCTTCATTTTGTAGATCTTTGCCAGTGGAGAACTGAAAGGAGTGTTGTAAAAGAGAATACAAGTTTGCATGATAAAAATCTTGCTCTGTGCAAGATTTCAGAAACTGAGAAAACGCTTCATATGAGAACATTCGTAGGGTGCTCCCTGAGCAAATTAATTGGAGCCTGTGATGTCATTGTCAAAACCTTACTTACAGGCTAATAAAACCCTTGATTATCCAAAAACTTGGCTTATCCAAAGCACAGGGTAATGTCATCTGGCCAGGACCAAGTGTATTAAACTAGCCAAACTCTAGTTTATCCAAATGAATGTAATGTCCTCTGTCGTTTGGATGAATGAACTTCCACAGTGTCTGGCACAGGGGCTCTGTCGAGTGCCCGAGCACATGCACATTCTGAGCCTACTCGAGGAGCAGGAAATTAAAAAGCTTCCACTGAATGCTGGTTAGTGGTTCCACAGGCCATAGGACTATTTATTTATCAAGTTACTAATTTCTTAGGCCTTCCAACAATAATAGTTGAGCTTCCAATTATTTTTTTCCTTGAAATCTTCTATTTTAGTAGTGGTTAGCTGAAGTGGAGTAAAACAGAGGAAAAATTCTGTACTTTACGTCTCCAAAATTTGAGAGCAATACCAAGAGGTATTTTTGTGTTTAATTTTATGCGCTGTGTTCATATATTTCTTGTTAATAATTTATTTTTAATTGAGTTTTTGTATGCTGGGAGAGGTTTGTGTATTGATATTCATTGTCTGTATTATAAATCTAGGTTATTAACGCTTTAGAGTTTTGGCTTTTGCTATTGTTTTATTCTTAAGTTTCTCCTTCTTCAGGGTATGAGAGTCTCAGCTTGTGTTCAAAGCAAGATATATTTCCAGCCTTTGGGATATCAGGGAAAAAATTGTTCCAAGCATATCCCAAAGGTTCCAAAAACAAAAGGCAAATGCTGCTGCTCTTAATCCTGTTAGATCAAATTCAGGCTCCAGTGGAAAAAAGTGACAAAACTTTCCTAACTCCAGTGGGACCAGGACTTCACTCCTGATTTGTTTGTTTTTTTTGAGGCGGGGAGGGAGGGCGTTGAGCCAGTCTCAGTTGACCCAGTCTCTGAATTTGGAGCTCTTGAGTTGTAATTTTTAAATGCTTAGCGTTGGCAATAACATAAATGCACGGGGATTAGACTACTGTAATAAGAACCTTCAGAGGTTAAAGAAAACATTTGATTTCCAGTAAGTGGCATGGTAAACACATACCATAATCTGTTCCAAAAAGCTATTAGTCCTGAAACAGCAGGGTGTCCTTTCTAATAAATGTTATCTTTTGCCTTTCATGACTGTGTAGATTATCCTTCACTCTATGCATAAATACCAGCCTCGTGTCCACGTCATCCGAAAAGACTGCGGAGATGATCTGTCACCTGTCAAGCCTATCCCTTCAGGAGAAGGAGTGAAAGCCTTCTCCTTTCCTGAGACAGTTTTCACTACTGTCACAGCGTACCAAAATCAGCAGGTAATTTTGGCTTTCTGCTTAGCACTTTGCAGGCTTTTCAGAGTAGACCAGGGAAATAAGAGACAGGAGAAAAGCAGATACTTTTATTATACTGCTTACTAAGAAGCATTTTCTAAACCTTTTTTGTATCACAAGTAGATTTCACTAGAAGTATTGCAGCAGCGTCTGGAGGCTGTAGCTGAAGCTTTAGGCCGTGTGGGCTAGATGCTGCGTGTAAAAAGTCATTCTTACTATGGAGATCACACAGTCTAATTAGCATAGTTAATGGTGTCTTAATTATAAATACAGCATTGAAGCGCAAGGCAAAGATCAATCTAGTTTTTAAAGGTGTTTTTGTACCTTTAAGTGTAGGTACGTGTCTGGATATAATTTTGAAAGCACTTTTGTTTTTGACTCCAGTGATTTTAAAACTCCCAGGACCTCAACAGAGAAGCTGGGGTCTGAAAAAAGTCACAGTAGTTTTTGTGATTTGCATTCAGCCCGTATTATTAACTGCAGTTTTTCTGGGTCCACACAGATTCAAAGTCAAAAGTAAACCACAGATTGCATGACTGCAGTGTTTGGCTCTTATTACTGCTTGTTTAAGTATTAGCGTACATAGTGACACCATAGTTAGTGTTGTGACAGTTTATTAATTCCATGTAAGCTATTGCAGCTCTATTTTGGGAAATTATGTATGCCTTGCTGTCTTTACAAAGAGAAGAGCAGGAGAGCCATGTAAATACTGAAATACAATTATTTGGTGCCTATCCCATTTGTTTAAATGAATTACAAGTATTTCAAGGGAGGGGGTTGCTGTTTTTTTTTTAATGGAGGATAATGGCCTAGAGATAATCTCTCTTTTCACATTTCCTTCTTGACCTGTACAGAAATAAAATTTAATTTAAATTTTATTGCAGTAAGGCAGTGTGCTCTCTTAGGTGAAGGATGACATTTGCCAGAAGATTTTTCTCAAGAATTCCAACCTGCCATTTGGTAGCATTAAATACCTATTAGCTTCTCTGGGGATTTGCAAACATAATGATCAGAGGGCTGACCCCCATTCTGCTGTGTTTCAGGACAACCATCTTAAACCATTCAAATGCGAAGATGTTTCTGCTCCACTGTCGGCTTAATTCTGTCAGGAGAGTAATTTTGTGTGTTACTTCGCATTTGAATTTGCAGATAATAATTTCTTTAATCATATTCACAGATAACTCGTCTGAAGATTGATAGGAATCCATTCGCCAAGGGGTTTAGAGATTCGGGACGTAACAGGTGGGTGTTGGGGAAGGAGGTGGCCTTGCTGCTGCTGACAGAATCGTTCTATGGAGGCTAGTCGTAGGGAATACCTGTATCTACAGACAAATTAGTCTGAGGGCTCAGACTCCTTGAGAAAGCATCTTAGGTTTCCCAGTAATGTTCTCAGTGGTGGGCTCCTGTTCCTTCTGCTCTGACCATCTAGGTCAAGAATGGGTTGGCACTCGGCTGGACTCATGCACTCAGATTTCCTTTTGGCGGAAGCAGCGGCATACCGTGAAGGCTGCAAATGGAATTAGTGCGTACTCAGGTCTGTGATTTCAGGCTGCTCCTGAAATCTCCTCTTTCTCTTGTCTGGGGACACAAATTGTAGATACCAGTGTCAAACTATATGCCCAGGTTCTCTTGCCTGTAAGTGGCATTTAGTATGGATAAATGGCTTATTGTTTTCTGTTAAAGGAGGAGAAACTAAGTCACCTCGTGTAGTAACTTTATGTTTAGTACCCTTGCTTAGGAGATGGGAGACCTGTGTTCGAGTGTCTCTTTAGCCTGAGGATTTTTAAATCCACTTCCTAGGTGAATGCCTTTCCCACTGGGCTATAGATGACCTTGAAATGAGCCTGGTTTCCACCTCCTCTGTTGCGGTTGGACTGATTAATTGCTTGTTCTCTCTTGATCCATGAATCTTTCAAAATAGCAATGGGGAATCCGAGTAGTGCAAAGTGGAGACTTGGGTCTAGTCCCTGCTGCCAGTACTGATGAGGTATTTTATCCAAAGACGGTTTCATGCAAAATACTTAAGCCTGTTATGAATTGTATGTTAAACCATTTCAGCTAAAAAAAGCAGCATTTAATTATGGTGCATTTTATACATCAGTTCCAGGGACCACATTGCATTTGGTGTCTACAGCTGCTATATTTATGACCTAGCCTTGCAGAGAAGGGAGCAGACTGTGCTGGTAGGAACGCTCAGAGAATATCTTTTGGTAGCTGTTTTACTGAGCTGCTTTTTCAGCAGAGGCCACAACATTAATGCCAGTTTTGTGCTTCCACCTGAGTTACATAAATGCTGAGACTGGACAGCAAATGAGAGTAGTTTTTAGAAGATGAACAGTTATAGAAGGGGTGGGATCATTATAAAGATTTATGGGAAACCACTGTAAGTATCTTTTCAGTTCGCACTCTGTGTTTGTAGATGTCTAATATTTTTGTCTTCTAGCAAGAAAAAAATTGTCCATGCTCTGTCCTGGGGCCTGGAAGGGATGTCCCAGGCACTGGCATAAAATTTTGTCCTCCTTTGTAGCCTTCTAGTTTGAAATTAAGTGAACAGCAATTTCCAGATAAGTGCAGTGAGTGAAGAAGCGAAACATGCTGTGTGTACTTGGGGAAGAAAAGAGCTGCCATGTGTGCCCTGTTTGACAGCTCTCTGTAGGCAGTGTCTCTGCTATGCATGCTTTTTCAGGGCTATAAAATACGTACTAAGGAGCCTCCTAAAGAAGTGAGAAACTCTGACTTCTCTGAAATTTCTGAGTTTAAGTGGAGTGAGAATTTCTTCCATAAAGTTCTATGAAACAAGAGAAAATGCCCTTGAAAATAGTAAGGAAACATTCAGAAACCAGTTTTGAACTGGGTTTAACGTGGTGGAACAGTCCTGGTATTACCTGAGGAAGATGTAGGTGCAGTAAGAGTACTGCATCTGCAACCATGCAAATCCAGTTGTAGGACTGGGGATATCCAGAGAAGTTGCTTTTCTATTTGGCTGCTAGGAATAAGTTTGGTTCAGGCATTATTTAAAAAAAAAAAAAAAAAAAGGCAGGATATTGTAATTGAAAGACAGTTACAGTTTATGGAAACAGGTTAGGAGTCTTGTCCTGTAGGAAGGGCCGGGCCAGCCTCTGTATGAGTGTTTTGGAACTGGCTTTAGATGAGGTCTCAATGCTTTTACTGTAACAAACACACTTGTTACAGAAGTGACTCGGCAAACTCTTGTCCTTTGCAAATTGACGTTGGTTTACTGAAGTCAGTATTGCTGTTTTCTTTGGTAGGCTCTGTGGCACTGAATAAGTGTGTCTGGGAATGCAGCTCAGATTTTTAATTGTCAAGGAAAATTTCCTTTTTTAATTTAAATTACTGGTCTACTCAGTTGATAATTATTTTACTCTGTTGCTGAACATTGAAATTAAATGTTAATATTTGGTTATCTTCATTGTTCTAGCTGGTATACTTATTGCCTAGGCATAGGCAATATCTTGAACTATTATATCCATCTTTTCAATGTTGCTGTAATTCTTGCATCTATCTTACTCAGCACTGCTGCATGCAATAGTTCCATTTAATTAAAAATGCTCCCTTTCAGGTCATTCCCGTTCAGTCCCACAGGCTATTTTACAGAAATCAGTAGCTTCACCTTTTAAAAGCATTCCCTGTGCATTTGCAAAGTGCAACAGAATTTATGTGCTGAGAATAGTTTCATTCTTCAGTTAGGCCTGAAGTTTGACCCTATAAAAACTTTTACTCAGGAAAGGACCAGAATTTCTCCCTTTAAATACTTCAGGAAAAACATAGCTGTTTTGTTAAATAAACTCGGCCATTTGATAGCGTAAATTGGGATGGTGATAAAATGTGGAAATTGTTCAAAGGCATCTTGTATAAATTATCACCCTGGCTACACTCCTCCAGGAGGTGGCTTTTATCTCCCCTTTAACTAGAAATGAAAATTCACCATTGCTGCAGAAAATGAAGGCTATCTTTTTAGTCCAGGTTTAGGTAATAAATACTTTATAACTGTTTCCTGAAATACATTTGTGATCCTGCTGGAAATGCAGTGGGCAAGGAACAGTGTCAGAAGAACACGTTGGTAGCTTCAAATTGGGCTCTTTGCATAATTTGAGTTTACAGAGTGCTGCTGCTCAAAGGCAAGCACTTGTATTTGGTGTGTGCCTGATGCTGACACTTAACAGGCCTTTGGGGCCCAGGAGCCAAAAATAACAGCAAAATGATACCTCTGAGGTGCATTATTCATAAAATTCTGTCAGAAAACAAAGGAACCTTTGCCTCAGGAAACGGAGATTCTTCTAAATACTGTCTGCCACAATTGTCTACCTGGTTATTGCTGTTTTCTCATGACTATTGAAATGTGTCACGGTTGCCTTTAGAAACTGAAAATCTTAATTTTACTCAGCACATAATAAGCAAGACACAACATTGCTTTACACATTTTAGAAGCTAAAGAGCTATGCACCCAGGGCTTGGTCATGTTGTAAGCACGATTTTCCAACTCATTGGTAGTGACTGGGAATCCTGTTGTAATAGAAGTTGTCAGTGGATCACATTTATTCTACACAGAAATAGGAAATCATCCCTCTGTCCCTACTTTTGAGGAAGTGTTATACAAGAAAAACATTTAACATCATTTTAGCCAAGTTGTGTGTGTGTGTCCCTGGGAAAAAAAAACCCAACCAAACAAAAAAACCCCACCAAACACCAAAAACAACCAACCAAACAAAAAACAAAACTGAAAAGCCAAAACTGACAGATTGTGGAAATGGAAAACTCTTTGCATGCTGCCAGCCCAGTGACTGCAGATCACAGCGATCTCGTGGATTAGCACATAAGGCTCTTTTCTAAAAAACAAAATGAATCTCAAAATAATTCTGAAATGTTACTAATTTTTGTGCAGAGAAATGTGACAAAATACAGCTTTCTTTCATGACACTGTGATGTTTTTGTTGTAAATAGAATGGGACTGGAAGCTCTGGTAGAGTCTTATGCCTTCTGGAGACCTTCACTGAGGACACTTACGTTTGAAGATATACCTGGGATACCTAAACAAGGTAACGGTCGTCTTTGAATTCTTTCAAAACAGAAATACATGAAGATAAAGCTTCACCCATCATTCTTTATAAAAATCTAGATGAGTGTGTCAGTTGCAGAGAAAAGGCAACCAACCAACCCCAGTGCAGGCCATCACCTCTCGTCAGAACTCTTCTAAGCTACAAAACTAATGCTGACTTAATCACTGTGGCAGTAAAAATGTAAGGTTGTAAAGATAAAACAGATCACATGTATTTAAGGATGGAATAACCTCTTCCTTAGTGTCCTGCTCCAGCTAGATCCACAAGGCAGAGCTATTTCATAGATCACTTCCATTATACATATCCAGAGTCCAATACAGGAACTACTTTTATGTTTTAAGAGGGGGAAAAAAGGGATGGGAGAAGAAATGTCCTTTAAGTAATAAATCAATAGTGGCAAGCTTAATTGAATTACCTCATTGGAAAGCCTCCTTGATTCTTAAAGACTTAAAAATTATTCAGTAAAAGTCCAAACAAACTTTATCTGCATCCTAGAGCTTGAAAAAATGGACCTCCTCTCCATTTTGTTTTTTTCCTGCTCCCCAATCCATAACCTCTTGGCTCCCAGTTTCTCCATTGTAGAGGTAGTGCTGTGGGGGACGGGGGTATTGAAATGGCCTCTTTGGACGGAGGGGGGAGTCTCTGTACTCTTTTCTGAGTTCCTTTATTTCCAGTGTACCCCAGTGCTTATAGAAAACCTTTCAGTTGTTTCCCAGCTAAATCAGACATACTGCTCTTGATTCTTTGCATTTCCTGCTACCAAATTGACAAATGTCCTTCCTGCCTTCTTGATAAAGTATTTCAAAGTCTTTAAGCTCTTTGGAACAAAAACCTAGAAAATATGGAAATGCACAGAAATTGCTTTTGTCAACTTCTGTTGAGACTGAAAGACGCTATTAGAAATTTGTCCTGGTTGGTAGTGCTGTAGGTGCCCACCTTTGGATAGCGGAGGCATTGACACAGATGGGAAGAAAAATAAGTATGTGTTGCACTAGGATTTCTTGAAAAGCGTCTCATAGTGCTTTGTGCCTGCTGTAGCTTCTCAGTAGAGCAAAAAGAGGCAGGTAGAGTTCACTGATAATATGTTTTTCTTTTTGCTAGCTCACCTATCATGAAAACCTGTTAACTTATTGACAGCATGTATCTCTTTGCAGCATCAAGCTGCTCGATAGTTAACGTGATTCACAAACACGAGAGTCTCCATGTTAAGTGCCTTCTGCCTGGGAGACTGTGAAAGGCCCAAATCAATTTTTCTATGCTCATTTTTTGGGGAGATATAATCTCTAAGAAAAGGAATTGTTTCTTACAGCCGGGGAGCTTTCAGTCATGAGAAAAGACTTTATTTGTAGCAAGCAGTGCATTTTCAGGAGCACCGAGCACTGGTATTTGTTGTGTAAAAAGTTCTGATATCGGTAAATGAACAGTTTGTGAACAGTTTGCTGCAAACCCGAACCTCCACCTACCCGTTCAAGAAATGAAGCAGCCGTGCACAGCACTCAGCCTACGCTTTTCCTGAAGTTGTGCTCAAGTTTTGTTCTCAATTTTTTTTGACTTGAAGTTAGAAGGGTTTTTTTTTTTTTTCTGAAGTTTTGTTCTGAAGTTGTGAACTTTCCTGGAGCTGTTGAACTGTGGAAGCCTCTATCATTTGAGCCAGGGAGCTGGTTCTGTAGCTGGTGCTCTGACAGTCAGTCAGGCATAGGGCGCTTGAAACGCACTCTGGGGTGTAGCGACAGCATAGACGATACAAAATTCATAACTTTGAAGAAGGCTTCCTGTGGTGTGGTACTTGCTTGACTACATCTTAGCTGCCATGCAGCTTGCTTCCCATGTCAAATACATAGTTAACCTTTTGGGAAGGAGCTCTAAGTATCGAGTGGTGGTGGCAAAAGCATAACTTATGTTCTTTAAAAATACGCATGTGCCACACATGCACACGCACCCCTGCACACGTTTGTACTTGTCATTTTTTTCGAATGAATTTGTGCCATCTTTCATGTCAAGGGTTATTATAAAAGACAAAGGTTTTGATCTGTCACCTAGGAAGTGAACCTTTCCCAACATGCTTCTTACGCTGCAATATTCTCTTGCAGGAAATGCAGGTTCCTCTACTTTACTCCAGGGATCTGGCAGTGGAGTGCCATCTACCCACCCTCACCTTTTGCCGGGTTCCCCTTGCTCATCTCCAGCCTTCCACCTCAGTCCCAACACTAGCCAGCTCTGTAGCCTTGCTCCAGCTGACTACACAGCTTGTGCCCGCTCAGGCTTGACCCTGAACAGATACAGCACTTCTTTGGCTGAAACCTACAACAGGCTCACAAACCAAACCAGTGAGACGTTTGCACCCCCGAGGACTCCCTCCTATGTCGGTGTGTCGAGTAGCACAACTGTGAATATGTCCATGAGTGGCAACGATGGGGATGCATTCAGCTGCCCACAGACTGGCTTATCTATGCAGATTTCAGGGATGTCTCCACAGCTTCAGTACATCATGCCATCCCCATCCAGCAATGCCTTTACCACTAATCAAACCCACCAAGGCTCCTACAACACGTTTAGACTGCACAGTCCCTGTGCGCTCTATGGATATAACTTTTCCACATCCCCTAAACTGGCTGCCAGTCCTGAGAAAATCGTTTCTTCCCAAGGAAGTTTCTTGGGGTCCTCGCCAAGTGGAACCATGACGGATCGGCAGATGTTGCCCCCCGTGGAAGGAGTGCACTTACTTAGCAGTGGGGGGCAGCAGAATTTCTTTGACTCTAGGACCCTAGGAAGCTTAACACTCTCGTCTTCTCAAGTGTCTGCACATATGGTTTGATGAAGCCTTTAAGTAAAAGTACAGTATGTTTGGTGTCTGCAATGTATTTCTTTTTGGAATATGAAAGGACAGTCGACGTAGCTTGTAAAGTGTGTGTGTATATATAATGTGAGAGGAAGTTTCACCAAATTTTTGATTTGCTTGTGGCCAGATTATTCTCCTATTTTGAGTTACACAGAGTTTGTTGCAGCGCAGACTGCTGTAGTTTTCTGGTATAATACACTTAGTTGTATAACACATTGGGACATATGCAACAAATTAAGTAAGACTTCCTCCCCTTTCCCCCTCCTCTGTTCTAACCCCTTTAAAGAATGAAATGACACTTGGAGTATTAAACAACACAAACAAGCCCACTTACATTTCCTATAGTACTAGTGAGTTTCTTTAAAACATTCATACAATGATAAGCTGATGCACCAAAGGCCTTTTACAAGTTTCTTCTCTGTTATAAGGGATATGAAGGGTATTTGGACTTTTAAGTGTTAAGTGTCAAGCATCCAGCCTAAAATAGAAGTTTAGCTAATGGATTATTTACAAAGTAAACGGAAAGATTAGTTTGCCTTCTCATGATACGCTGTTTTTAGCTTATCAACGGCACAGCATTCTTACTAGGATTTTTTTTTTTTTCAGCATTACTCTAGATTTATGTTTAGGTATTTGAAGACAAATAATGCATATTCAAATTGTGGTGATAGGAGTAATTTAAATCAGCAGCAGGAGAGGCGTCATTCCGTGGTACAGAATGAACTTTGAGGTGCTTCATTTTAATCAAAGGATGGGCGTGATGCAGTTTTTCCTCCATAAATATTGCCTACAAGACATTTACTGGACAGTAAGATATTCTAATGTATCTTTGTTTTTGTATTCTTACTTTTTTAAAGGAAAATGCAGGTTTGATTTAGGAAAAATAAGCAGGATGAGAAATTCCATTATTTGTTTTACCCTTTTGTGTGTGTTGTGTTTTGGGTTTGTTTTTAAAATTTTTTTAGTAAGGGCAAAAAGTCCTCCATCCTCAGTATCTCATAAATACATCGCCTGTAGCAATTAGGCAGATTGTGTGCCCAGTGTGCCCACAGGTTTTGCTGAAAGCAGAATTTTGTCACAGCTGCCTCCTTGTAACACGGCCACACTGGGACCAGGATTACAGTAGACAAAATTCCTTTAATAGTTTACTTTGAATGCTCCAGTATGACACCTACAGCCTATGTCCCTCTCTCCAGGGAGCCATCCATCTCCCTTTTCCTCCTTTCTGTCATGAGGTTACTGCTGCTCTGTTTCTCAGTCAGTTTTTGCCCTGGAATTGGAGAGATTCCCTTCCTTCCCAGCTCTGTTTTTAACTGGTGCTTGTTAGAACACAAATCACAACCTGCTCCTGATTGTGCTTCTCCGGAGTGACAAGGACACAGGGAGACACTTGTGGCAAAATCTCTGCCCTCATCTGCACCTGTACAGCCCTGGTGTGCATCGGTCTTGCTGTGAAAACTGCCTCTCTGCTGCCCACCTGTCAGAGCTGAACCGTGGAGGCTGTAGACCAGATTGTAATGCTTGAGAGAATAGATGGTCTTCAACAGTACGCTAAGCCTCCTTTAGATTGTGCAGGTGTTGCAAAGTGGGTACAAATATAGTTGAAAATGCTTCCCTTGTTTGCCTTGAAAGAGAATAAGGCCTTTCAGATTTTACATTTTTTCCGTTAGATTTTTCGGTGAAGATGGATTGTTGTGTTTCTCAAGAGTTCCTACATCTTTTCTGGCAAACCATGGTTAGCTGCTCCCACTTCAAGAAAGGCTTTTTGCAGCTAGTATTTCTTCAGTGGGCTGGAGATAGTGCATGCAGAAACAACCCTCTCACTATCTCTTTATTATTTGAGAATAGAAGAGAAACCACAGCAGTCTTTAAGCCCATACCTGGAGAAGGCTTTATTTCTGTTAGTGACATGTTTGCTTATGTTAAAGAACACACTTAGAAAATTCTCATTCAAAGCTGGAAAGACAAGAGGATGATCCTGCAGTTGAGGAGATGTGGGTTTGCTTCTTTGCTGTCACAAATTTCCCAAGTGACCTTGGGCAATTCACTCAGCCTTTCTCTATCAATTTTTTTTTCTTCTGTAAAATGTGATAATACCATTTCTCTGCCTCATGGTAAATGGTGACAGTACATTAAAGATTAAGATAATCTTTACATCTGCTGTACTGTGGACAGTACATTACAGATGAATGGCTGAGTAGCGTTCATATATGAGGATAACAAAGCATTCGTGTACTTCAGGTCTGTCACTTGTATTGGCATTGCAGTGTCCTTTGAAGCAGACCTCCTAGCAAAGACCTGCAATGCTAAAAACATTGTTGAGAAACCTCACACTAAGAATTTGTGAAATGCTTCTAAGATGTGTAGAAGATGGGCATATTTTCAGTTATGTAAATTGTCATAGCTCTATTAGTTTAAATTAACAAGGAACTTCTTGTGTATAGTAATTCCTGCTCTAGCCAAAACTTTGACATGTTGCAGTTGGACAAATATTTAAATGGGAAGAATGATACAATTAATCTGTACTAAGAAAGGTTAAAGATAACTATCTGTGTCATCTTAAGGGCTGTGACTAGAAATGTGGAAGAGCTAAATCATGCATGTTCCTACAAGGTGAAAGAAAAAAGTTGTGCATGGATGTTCATGGAGTTGCTCCTGGCAAGAGTATGTACTTTATCATTTGGAATTTTTTAGAACTGGTCTCTTATTTTTCCTCAAATTATGCTTATCATATAACCACACAATATTGTTTGAAACATTTGTTCCTTAAAATTTGAATCATACTGTAAATACTTACTGGTGTGTCATTGTGAAAAGACTAGCTTTTTATCAATATAGTAAATGCTATATATGCATTATATCTATAATTATATATCTGTATTTTACAAAAATGCCACAGAAAATATATTAAAGTGTGTATTCAAACACTTTTTACTACATTTGGAAAATTTAAGAGCTTGGGCTTCTTTATTTTCTCTACAATTTCAGCAAGACCAAAGGAAGTGACTCAAAGGTAAGCTCTGAAATTCAAAGACTGAATACAACAAGCTGCAGTGATCCAACTAGTCCATAATTCTTACATGGTTCAGTTTAGCCATCTGCTGTTGAACCTCTCCGTATGTAAAGGTCACGACAGATGTTGGGTACAAGGAGATGCTGAGGCTGGGAGCAGACCTGTGAGGTTTTTGTGTGGGAAGAAGGGACTGAGCAGCTTGCTCTGCTCATTAGCCAGTGATGGAGAATTGCTGGTTCCTCATAGCCCAGCCCCTCCCAGCTACCAAGACCAGTTCAGCTACCCCGTATCGACCAGGTCTGGGAAGTTAGTACTTCCATATGACCAGGTGCATGAGCGGGAGCTCAATACGCTGCATATTTTCTCTCTGTGGTCATTCCCTCTCTGTTCTGCTTATTCTAAATTCAAAAATCCATCAATTCCTAAAGCAGAATTTAGCACTATCATCAGCTGGGTGTACTGTTACTGAGCGATGAGCAACGTTTCTCCCCCCAGAAATACTGTTACATGTAGTGGCCTTATATCCTATTGTACTGCACTAAATGATTCCATGTGACGTAGGGCACAGGGCCTGAAAATCTGATTACTTTAGAGACTAGGATTTCATAGTCACTTAACACCAGCATTGTTGCAAATGACCAGAATTAGGCCAAGAGAAGTAGGCATGAAATGCTTGATCATAAATATCAGGCCTCAAGAGAGAATGAAAGCTTCTGTTTTTAATAAGGGAAGAGCCTTTTTTGGAATAGCACCATCAGACTCCAAGAGGACTCATTTCTGCTTCAACAGAGGACAACAGGAGAAACTTGAAAATCATGGACAGTGTTGGCATTAATGCTAGCAAGTCTATACTGTGAGCAGTTCAACAGAAGAAACTTTAATCATCACCAGAAATAGCTCACAGGTTCTGTGGGTGCATTTTTCCTGTAAAGACAGTATATCTAATTAGTCTCTATAGAACTGCATTGAAAAAGGCTGAAGAGTAGCTACTTTTAGATGTACTGACTTCACATATGGCATTACTATTTTGTTGCAGTCTTACAAATACAATGTCAAACTGTCATGACATTAATGTTTAAGTTGACTTCAGAGTCGCAAGTTTTAATATCAATAGTTGGAATTTATCATAATGGGGTAATGGTTAGTCTCTGTTGGCTGACTGTACTTCAGGTAACAAATTATATTGACTTGTCAGTTGAGCTCTTCATTATTGTGATCCTTGGATTCAATATTTCACCTTGTATTTAACACATAGTTCTTAATATGCCAATTCAGTATATGCAAATTATAGGAGAATTCCTATTCTGTCTTATTTTCCACCATATTCCTCAGTTACCTAGTTGATTCAAAACACTGACATGCCAAAATGATGCACACTTTTAAGAGGTGATAACTTGCTTCATGAGGAAATGACATTTCTAGATAATTCAATTTGCTTTAAACACTTTTAGTTGGTGTTATGCTTATCTTCCGAAAAGGTGTTACCAAAAAAGAAAAAGTCCTGTGCAGCCACCACTTGTTCTTGCAAAGCAATACCGAATTGGCCATAAAACTGTCTCAGATACTTTGGTGCCCAGAGCGAGCAGTTACAGCAAATGAGAATCTGAATCACCTGGACATACTTGAGAAAGATACAAGCCTGAATTAGTGATAGTGTATTGTTCATATTAGATCTGAAACCTCTTCATCTGAAAAGGCTAAATCTAAAGCTTTGTACAGGGATTTCCTAGGTCTTCCCTTGCCAAACATAACCTGCTGCAGGCTGGCTGAAAGTCTGTCCTTTCTTGAAATCATAAAATGATTTGGGTTGGAAGGGACCTTGAAGATCATCTAGTTCCAACCCCCCTGCCATCAGCAGGGACACCCCCCACTAGATCAGGTTCTTCAGAGCCTCATCCAACCTGGTCTTGAACACCTCCAGGGAGGGGGCATCCACAACTTCCTTGGGCAACCTGTTCCAGTGTCTGACCACCCTCACAGTGAAAAATTCCTCCTCATATCTAATTTAAATCTACCCTCTTCCAGTTTAAATCCATTACCTCTTGTTCTATGACTACCTGCTCTTGAAAAAAGTCCCTCCTTGGCCTTCCTGTAGGCCCTGTCACTGTTCCAGTTGCTTCCCTCCTTTAGGCTCTCTGTTTGCAAAAACACTGGACAGTTTGCAGGAGAGGTCAGTACGTGCTCCCCTGTTAGTTATTACACTACAGTATGCTTCTACAGCAAAGATTCATTACCCATGGTAAAGTAAGTAATCCTACTAAATGTCAGCTGTGATGTTTGTCTCAGTTTTAGAATTTGAAGTCCATAAAGTAAGCACTTTAATGTTTTTAAGAAGCATCAGTAGATCAGAAGATCAGTACTGCTATCAGGAAAATATAAATTTGTGGGCAAGTAGAAATGCTCTGCTGAAATTTATTTGCCCATCACCTTCTGTTCAAAGGTTTATGCATTAAAGTATGCATATTAGTATCCCACATCTTCCACTCTACCAAACCTTCAGGAGCTGGATACATTTGCAAACCTTTTCTTTTGTGGCCTTTCTAAATGTTGGAGGTAATACCCAGGTTTCAAGACAAGCGCTTGGGTTGCAATTCTGCGGCAGGGAATGGCAGGAGAAGTGGAGGTAGCACAAATGGACCCTGCAATCCCGTCATGCACTTTTGAAATGTCACAGGTACTGTGATGGTACCCACCATGTATAGCTCTATCCAAATACATCTCAGTGCACCTCTCACAGGAGTCTGTAGCCTAAAATAAGGACTGACAAAAGATTAGTCAAGGAGGGTAAAGCATGATGTGAAAATACTTGTGCTACCCGAAAGCTGGGCGATTGCAGTGAACGTTAAGTGTAGGCACAGCTACAGCCACTGCAGCCACTTGGACTGTGCTGTGCCCTTTTGTTCATTTGCACACCACTGGCTTTTATTTGGATGCTAAAATATAGAGCCAAGAGTAAATTTAGAGCATATTGGAGGAAACCTGGACTCCACTGTGGCCAGTAGTAATGTTGCCATTGACTTGAGCTTTATGGATACCACATTTTCAGACCCTAAGCCATCCCTCTTCCTGTTGCTGAGTGCTTTACCCACGCAGCAGCTGTAGTCATACTGTTCTCAGGGATGTTCTTCTGGCCCTTTGTGGTGTTTTTCAGGTGGATAACCGTCTTTTTGTGTTTTACATGCTCATATTTTGTTTTTAAATTTCTGCTTCTGCAGTTTTTGAGCCACAATCTGCATCGCGCTGAAAGACAAGGCTG